CAACATCATCCAGTGCAGGACGTTTTTTTTTTTTTAGATTCTCACGAACTAACTTGTCTTTGTCAAAATTATGCAGTGTAGGCTTAACAGGAAACTAGTTTGTTAAGAATACTCAGAAACCAACTAGTCACAGCCAACATGCAATGCAGGCATGGCCAGCAGTGACCCAAGAGTGCCTTGGCTGATAGTCGTGCTGATTCGGTCACACATGCCTTTCCTAGATGTGTTATGGATACTTTCGATAAAGTGATGTATCCTCTTAGCAAACAAACACGAGACGTGGTTGACGTATTTGCAGAAAGCTTCCTATCAAGTGGCTCGTGGTGTGCTGGAGGCCGATCTTCCTGCATTCAAACTCACCTTTACATTTTACAAGCGAACAGCATGACACGCCCCCCCCAAAAACAAGAGCACATGAGATCGTCACAGGTAGGGAGTTGAGTGGTTGGAGAAGGTAAGCATTTCTCACAGTGTTATTGGACTGAAAGTCCTCAAATGTGTTGCCATAAAGGGTATTAACATCATTGCAATGCCAGTTATCTCCAGCCACTACTAGCGTTGACGCGAGTGTGACTCCTGGGAGCAACACAGGGGAAGGGGAGTGTGATCATGGAGCAAGGTAAACTTGACTTGCAATTTCAGCCTTGTATGGTCCATTCATTCATGTATGCTTCTATTTGTTTATTAATGGGAGAGCATTAACGGGGATGATGGATTGTTCAGTTAAACATGGGTTGGTAGGACGTGTGAGGCCATTAGGAGAGCTTATTGCAATGGCCATAAAATGGATCAATATCAATTCGTTTATTCAAAGCAAGGATTTTCATGACCTCCGTATCACCCTACTTCGGTTGTCGCACATAATGACATTAGTTTAGTGGCAGTATGGTAAGAGGTGGGAAAGGGGAAGCTAGAATTATCTGCATCGGGGCGCACCTTTGGAACAGGTGGGAAAGCCATCGATGGTGGTGTCTGGGGTGTGTGTGGGCGGGCACACACACGTGTAGGCGCCCTGCCCATCATCCATGCACGTGCCCACCTCGCAGGGGTTGCGTGTGCTGCTCCTGCAGACATTCACTGGAGGAGCACACAGCGGGTATGCACAGACACAACAAGCATAGTGGCCTGATCATGGGGTTGCATGTGTTGCGCAATTGCCAATCATGTCTTTCTCTTGTAGAATGCCTTCTATGGCATGCACAATTGCTGGCGAGCTATGAGGTTTGTCTCTCCCTTGGGCAGCCATGAAGGTTAGCATCTAATAACTGTTGAGTTTGGGATGGTCGCTTAGCCGTACATAGTTGGAGCTGCAGCCGTGTCTACAACTAACTGCACAAAAGTGTGAACCAAGAAACTTGAGCTAGGGAAAGAGAGTCTGAGAAAGATTAGCCATAGCATATATATATCTGGCTCTAACAGAAGACAATGCACTCAACTTGATCCGTTGTTTGACAGAAAGACTGTGGTCTATCCTAACTTTACAGTGTTGATTACGTATCATGCACTAGAGGGGGGCATTGCTGCTGCACAAAGTGAGTTTGGCATGGAGCTAGCTACTAGTACAGTAGACTTCTGAGTCGACTCAAGAGTCACCTAGTTGGGCATGGAGGAGGTACTAGTACAGTACAGCATGTACACGAGGCAGACAATTGGTGCGAGCAGCTTGGTAAGGGCCTCAGACACAGTCCCAATTAGCAATGAGTTAGTGGAAGCATCGAACTGAATATAGACAAAGAACTCAATAGGAGCAGCAAACTCACTGTAAGCACTGGAACCTCTCTATAAACCAGACTCACTCTAAGCTCTGGAACCACTCTAACCACTAAAATCACTCGAAGCACTGTAATCACTCAAAGCAGTGGAATCACTATAAGGACTGGAATTACTCTTAAGAACTGAAACCACTCCAAGAACTTGAATCACTCGAAGAACTGGAATCACTCTAAAACTAAAATCACCCTAAGCACTAAAATCACCCTAAGCACTGGAATCACCCTAAGCACTAAAATCAACCTAAGCACTAGAATCAACCTAAGAACTAAAATCACCCTAAGCACTGGTATCACCCTAAGCACTGGAATCACTCTAACCACTAAAATCACTCTAAGCACTATAATCACCCAAAGCAGTGGAATAACTATAAGGACTGGAATCACTCTAAGAACTGAAACCACTCCAAGAACTTGAATCACTCTAAGAACTGGAATCACCCTAAGCACTGGAATCACGTGAAGCACTGGAATCACCCTAAGCACTAAAATCACCCTAAGCACTAGAATCAACCTAAGCACTAAAATCACCCTAAGCACTGGTATCACCCTAAGCACTGGAATCACTCTAACCACTAAAATCACTCTAAGCACTGTAATCACCCAAAGCAGTGGAATCACTATAAGGACTGGAATCACTCTAAGAACTGAAACCACTCCAAGAACTTGAATCACTCTAAGAACTGGAATCACCCTAAGCACAAGAATCACGTGAAGCACTGGAATCACCCTAAGCACTAAAATCATCCTAAGCACTAGAATCAACCTAAGCACTAAAATCACCCTAAGCACTGGTATCACCCTAAGCACTGGAATCACTGTAAGCACTGAAACGAGCCATGACTCTATCCATATCCATCAGAGCATACCACCTCCATTACAACCACGAACAACAATAACGTCAAACCCACTGTACGTGTGACCAGCTGGTGGTGTTACTGGATGCACGACGACCAACCAGACTCACCATAAAAGAAAAGAAAAAAAAAAGGAAAAAAGAACTTGTAATAACAACATAAAAGTGACTTCGAACACATGACTTGCTCCAACCACATGACTTCGAGCCATGACTCTGCCCACCAGAGCACATAAGCACCACCACCTCCGCCACCACCAAGCATAATGTAATGTGACACTCACTGTAAGCACAGGAGCGCGTGCCATCAGCGTTGGTGACCTCCTTGAAGGGCGCCGTGCATGCGCAATGGTTGGAGGTGCCATCAGGGGTGCACTGGAACGTGCCACACGGGTTCAGCACCGACCCTGTCTCGCTGCTGTACTTGTAGGCCCTCACCATGCACGGGTCGTCCGCAGCTGGTGGGGAGTAAGAAGGAGGGAGGGAGACTTTTGAGTTGAATCTAAGGTCACACGGGTTCAGCACCGACCCTGTCTCGCTGCTGTACTTGTAGGCCCTCACCATGCACGGGTCGTCCGCAGCTGGTTTGGTATGGCAAGGGGTGGGGAGAGGGTGGGCGGAGCAATCTGAGCCGACTTGAAATACACCTGGTATGACTGGATGTGCCCCACGGGTAGAGTACTGACCCTGTCTCGCTGCTGTGCTTGTAGGCTCTCACCACGCAGGAGTCGATGGCAGTTGGTGGGGTGCGGCAGGGAGGGACGCAGGAGCATTCTAAGACGACTTGAGATATACCTGGTATGACTTGGTAAGAGTGATGCATCACGTGTGGATCAGTCTGTGTGCTGAGATGAATGTAGCACATGTGGCTTCATGCGCGCTTCATGGGTTTATGAAGAGGCGGATGCACAAGGATGCAGATGGTGTCAGCAGCTCACCTGTAGGTGCTTATGGCTAGATGCTGCTCGACCTTCTGAATGTCACCACTCACCACATCCTGACATTTGTTGCCACAAGTCAGGATTATAAACTGGCAGCAATTTGGCACTACATACTTTGAGCAATTCAATAGCAAAGGCCGACACGGATTGCATTTTTAGGTGCACGTGCACATTCAACACATGCACATCATCATTTGCCCACCTTGCTTGTCAGCATGAGAGGGTTCGCACACAATCATTTGGGCCAACTTGTTTCTGTTAAACACTTACAGAAATTTGCCAACACCACCCAGGTTGAATTCGCTACGTGCACCCTCACGTCAACACCGCAGGCTGACTCACACTTGATGATGGGGTAGATGCCAGGCAGCACGTTGATGCCACACACGCCATCCCCTCCCCGCCTCTATGCCCATCCGCTTGTACCCATTGTCGCCCCACTGTGAACCCCACGAGTTGCGGATGAGCCAAAATGGTGCAAAGACATGAGGCCGGCTGTCGTCAGTGCCTAACATGAGGTAGCCTGTAACGAGTACAACGTGGTTGAGGTTGCCCGTGTAGCAGCCGGGGTCCTGGTACTTCTGCAGCTGCATACCACAGAAAGGAGCCCACGGAAAAGAGGACAATGGTGAGCAGACACTGCATTGAAGTGCACGATATGGCCCAGAAACGGTCTGCACAGTTAACACGTGTTTTGAGGCGCCTCAAATGAAGTGCACGATATGGCCCAGAAACGGACTGCACGGTTAACACGTGTTTTGAGGCGCCTCAAATGAAGTGCACGATATGGCCCAGAAATGGACTGCACGGTTAACACGTGTTTTGAGGTGCCTCAAATGAAGTGCACGATATGGCCCAGAAGCGGACTGCACAATTAACACGTGTTTGCTTGCGTCGAAAAGGTTAGACGAATAAAGTTGCAACTACAGGTACTAAAATTACGCACTTAGAGGTGAAAGAGATCGAAACGCCACCTGATCCACGAGCAGCTGGCCTCGAATATCCCTTCGATTAAAACAAGTGCACTGTTTTGCAGAGGCCTGTGACATAGCCTGTTGTACACCATCATACCCCGTTGCACCCCCTCATACCCCGTTGTACCCCATCATACCCCGTTGTACCCTATCATACCCCGTTGTACCCTATCATACCGCATTTTACCCCATCATACCCCGTTTTACCCCATCATACCCCGTTGTACCCTAACATACCCCGTTGTACCCCATCATACCCTGCTGTACCCCATCATACCCCGTTGTACTGAATGAACGAGTCAGCAGAGGCCTCGATGTGAACCACCACGGGCTGCCGCTGCACGGCCAGCAGGAGACCAAAGTAGCAATTGAATGCAGTGCGCTCAAACCCGTTCACCACATACTTCTTCCCCTGCACGCATGAGAAGGTGAATTTGTTCTAAGACGTTTTAAATCAAACTCATTCACCACGTACTTCTCTGCCTGCACACACCACAAGGTCGGTGGTGGCGTGAGCACGTGATTGCATGCAGACTTCCAATGCCTTAATAGTGCAAGTATACGATGGGGCAGCCATGCCCATTGATCGAGTGCCAGCAGCCATGCCCATTGACCGAGTGCCAGCAGCCATGCCCATTGACCGAGTGCCAGCAGCCATGCCCATTGACCGAGTGCCAGCACCCATGACCATTGACCGAGTGCGAGCAGCCATGCCCATTGACCGAGTGCCAGCAGCCATGCCCATTGACCGAGTGCCAGCAGCCATGCCCATTGACCGAGTGCCAGCAGCCATGCCCATTGACCGAGTGCCAGCAGCCATGCCCATTGACCGAGTGCCAGCAGCCATGCCCATTGACCGAGTGCCAGCAGCCATGCCCATTGACCGAGTGCCAGCACCCATGACCATTGACCGAGTGCCAGCAGCCATGCCCATTGACCGAGTGCCAGCAGCCATGCCCATTGACCGAGTGCCAGCAGCCATGCCCATTGACCGAGTGCCAGCAGCCATGCCCATTGACCGAGTGCCAGCAGCCATGCCCATTGACCGAGTGCCAGCAGCCATGCCCATTGACCGAGTGCCAGCAGCCATGCTCATGAACCGGACGGTGCCATACCGGATGACTCGTGGCGAGCGGCGAAGCCGATGCTCTGATGGATTACTTAGAGGAGAGGGGACCCTGTTCCAGCCCGCCACTGGACGCTGCCACTTCAGTGGGCTGCTTAAACGCGAGGGATGGAGAGAGGGCCTTACCGCGAGTGTCGTGGCGAGGGGAAAAGCCGAGGCCCTGACAGGAGCCTTTGAGGGCGGGGCCTGTTCCAGCCCGCCACTGGTGGCCGCCACTTCAGTGAGCCGCTTGAACGCGAGGGCGGGCGAGCCCTCAGAGCAGCTGGGCAGCCCCATGAGGGAGTAGAGAGAGCTGACGGAGAGGGATGGGTAGCTGCCGCTGCTGCTGTTGCTCGCAATGCCGTATGCCGCCTCTACGCTTGCCACCACTGCGTATGCCCAGCAGCTCCCTGCATGCAGCAACGGGGCAGACGGTAGTGGAGGTTCGTACAAAGGGAAGGGAAGGGAGAGGTTGCTGGCGATGCCGTATGCCGCCTCTACGCTCGCCACCACTGCGTACGCCCAGCAGCTCCCTGCATGCAGCAACGGGTGGATGGCAGGCACGGTGCATGGCAGGGAGGGGAGAGGTAACGGGAGAGAGAAGCTGTGGGTGATGCCTTTACACTCGTCGCCACTGCATACGCTCAGCAGCTCCCTGCATGCACCAACGGGTGGACGGCAGTCACGGTTCATGCGGTCACGTCACAGTTTGTACAACGGGAAAGGGTAGGGCAGAGATAGGAATGGCAGAGAGATGCAGCACAGAGAAGAGATTGGAGAGTGAGGAGCACGGATTCGGACTGTCTGGGTCTGGGGCATGCAGCGTATGGTGTGAGAACTAAACGCCCATGACAGTGACATTCTGCTTTGCTGATGGAAGCGCAAAAGAGGTGCCCGAATGAAGTAGGAGATGCCTCTGTGGATACTGCCATCACCACATGCCTCATTGCACAAGCCTTGCTACCACCACAAGCCTAGAACGTCCTGTTGCACAGTGACCCCTGCTTTGGCTATCGCACAGTAACCCCTGCTATGCCTATGGCACAGTGACCCCTGCGCCCACCACAGGGCTCACCACAGAAGCCCTGGTCAGCTGCCTGCCAGAGCTGCCCCGTGTTGCTCCACACGGAGTAGCTGCGCGTCGTCCACGACGCCTGCTCGTCCTGCGCCGGCGAGTACCCCGCACTCACGTAGCACGTGAAGGGACTGGTGGTGGCGGGGCGCAGCGTGGCTTCTGACACCAGCAGCCCCGTGGCTGTGGGGGGGAGGGCGGACAATATTGGAATCACTTTTGAAAACTCTAAAAAATGAGTACCCCGCCCGCGCTCACGTAGCGCGTGAATGGGAAGGAGGTTGTTGGGCGCAGCGTGTCCTCTAACACCAGCAGCCCCGTGGCTGGGGGGAGGGGAGGACGGACGATATAGGAGTCACTTTTGAGAACTCTCAAACGCAAGTACCCCGTGCTGACATAGCGCGTGAACGGGCTGGAGGTGGTTGGGTTGGGTGCAGCGTGTACTCTGACACCAGTAGCCCCGTGGCTGGGGGGAAGGCAAGTGATTGTGGAGGGCCGAACGATTTTGAACAGGAAAGAGGATAAGGGGATGACCAGAATAGGGGGCTAGGAAGCAGCTGGGAAGGGGCAGGGCAGGCAGGAAGCTAGTCGTGCATGTGATTGGTTGACATGTGACGGGACTAGAAAGGTGGGTGGCGCCATTATTATAGTGTCATGTGATAGAATGACTTTTGGGGCGCCTCAAAAGGGTGGCGCCACTATCGTGTAATGTGATAGAATGCAGGCTGGAAGGGATGAAATGGCATTGCATGAACTTGTTTAACGACACCCATGAACCTGAAATTTATGGGTGACAATTACAGTATTTGAAAGTGACAGAATGTATGAGAGCATGCAGGTGAAAAGGATAGGGGAACAGAGATCAGACGGAGGAAATGTAGATGATTTCAAATGCACTAGGGACATTCCGGCTTTGCTCTCCAGAGGGCCATGGGCCTCCCTCATACTTGCACGGCAGGGCACCATGGACACTGCACTGCTTGGACACTGCACTGTTTGGACACTGCACTGTTTGGACACTGTGCTGGTTGCTTTCTTGTGGCTTTTGAGTTGACTCAAATGTCACTGTGCTGGATAATTTTTGTGTGTTTCTCCAAACGAGGAGTTCAAGAGCAGCTGATGATGGCAGTGCATGTGTAAACTCACCTCTGCGATGCGAGAGAGTGGAGGCTGGAGCATAGCCTGCATCAGGGAACAAGTGATGGAAAACAAGAAAACACATACATTAGGGAGGTGCAGTGGTACAGAACGGTGGGAAACACGATGCCCAACTGCAAGCTCCAATGGTTAGCAAAATAGGAAAGAATGTGACAGCAGCACGGACCACGGCAGACTCGCCTGTCTGAACGGTTGTGATGCTCATTGTGTGCTACTGAGAGAGCTTTCCCCTCGACGAGGCAACAAACTCGTAGTACAAGAAAGAGGAGCCCTCGGAGGGCTCCAGCAGGTGGCACAGCGAGAGACCCACCTGTTTCAACGCTGGTGATGCCAACTGTGTGCTGTTGGGTGAACTTCTCCCTTGATGCAGCGACGAAGCCAAAGTAGAACGAGTTTGAGCCCTCGGTGGGCTGCAGCACGTCATACAGTGAGAGGGGCGTCGAGAGCAGCGGCTTGGCTGGCTTGGCCATAGGGGACGTGGCGAGGGACACATTCAACGTGCCGTTGCCTGCAGGGCTGTACTCCACCCACACAAAGTACGGCATGCCACTGTTCAGCAGCGGCTTGCTCTTCACAGCCACTTTGGAGATGGAGATCCTGTTCACGTTCACTCCCACGTGGTTGTTGCTCGCATCCTTTTCCTCCTTGTTCAACCACGTGTCGAATTCCACAGCCAGGCTCGCCTTGTCCATCCCTCCAAACCCCATGCCGCCCTGCGTGCCGGCCGCGGCCGTCTTAGAGATCACAAACGCGAGCCCGTCACCGCCCGTCTTGCCGGAGCGCAGCATGGTGAAGGAGAAGTTGGCTCTGAAGTAGAGCTCTCGACCACAGCCGTCCCGGAGGACAGCGAAGGAGAAGAGAGGAAGAGGCTGGGGGGAGAAGAGGGCTCCTGTGGAGGGCATGGTGAGGTCTGTGAGGACGCCGCCTGAAGGGAATATGGTTGCCATCCTTGGATAGGCCAGCTCTGCACAGTGAGAGAGGCGCGAATGAGAGAGCAGGCGAGTAATTGGTCCAAAGGGGATAGGTGTTGTGGAAGCTGAGAAAGAGAGGATTTTGCAGAGGGCTTGCAGTGCAAGCAGCAGCAGAAGCAATGGTGAGCACTTAGCACGTATCATGGACTTAGCACGTAGCATAGATTCTGCAAAGTTTCACACACATTCTGTGTTGGAACCTGATAAGCCATCACATGGTCAGTCTTCGGTATTTACCTTCACGGATGCACGTGTCTGCCGACTCTCCATTGGTAACACAGTCACACACAGGTGTCTCATCCACGCCCTGCAGCACACACGCTCCCACTCCCTCCCCCCCACACGCCCCTACATCCTGTCGCGAACAAACCTTGTTATTAGCTACTTACCTTTACGGATGCATGTGTCTGCCGACTCCCCATTGGTGTACCCCTCAACACAGTCACACACAGGTGTCTCATCCGCCCCCTGCAACACACACGCTCCCAACCCCCCACACGGGAGCGATGTGCTGGAGAGGCCACAGAAGGGAGCGCACTCAGTGTCGGCACGCTGGGCAATGGAGGGGCAGGAGAAGGAGGCGTTGTAGGAGAAGCAGTTGCCAGTGAGGAGGGAGGTGGAGCAGGTGGTGGAGGGTGCGGCGGAGAAGAAGTTGTTGCGTGATGAGAGAGCTGAAGCAGTTGGGGGCAACAAGATGGCGCCTGAGAGCTTGTTGTTGTAGATCAGCCTGGGGGAGTGGTGGTGGGAGGAAAAATGCCGTTTTGGAGGTTGCATTGCGTAATGCATGGATGGGTTGAGATAAACAAGGTCCTATCTGGTTAATGTAGGGAGAAGGGGAATTGGATTGAAATGAGGAGATCGTGAAGGGCGGATTTTGGACTGAAAAATCGAGATGGGCTGAAAGGAAGGGTCAGAGAGCGGCTCATACATGCTGGTGATAGCTGTCATCGATGTGATTGTACTCGGCAGGCTTCCCGAGAGACGGTTACCACTCAAGTCCCTGTGGGTTGTCGGATTTCCGATACAACAATGGAGGCACAACAATGGAAAGGCACCATATCAAAGACGTGCAAATACATGCATGCGCACAGGTTAAGGCATGAAGGAATGTGAAATAAAACCGTTCAACACCAGCTTTGAACAAGGTGAATGTTAGAGTCATTGACAAGGCTGAGATTGAGTCAGTCTGCAACGGGTGGGACGAGCCATTCAAGTAAGAAGTTGACAGGAACGGCATGCTTTCTCACAGTAACTGAAGTTTCATGAGCTGGCCAATGGAGGGAGGCAGCTTCCCAGAGAGACTGTTTTCCCGCAGGTCACTGCAGGGAAGGGGCGGCAGGCACATGAGAGCCAGGTGCGATGTCAGTGAAAGGAAGGTTGCTGTGTTAGTGAAAGGAAGGTTGCTGTGTCAGTGAAAGGAAGGTTACTGTGTCAGTGAAAGGAAGGTTGCTGTGTCAGTGCACTCGCAGGAGAATATGGCTGTGGGAATATGTAGTGAGAAATGGAGGAGAAATGGTCTTGAGAAAGATAATATGCAACGGACTAAGTGGCAACCCACAACATTGACAGATGAATGAAAGAGGTGGTCGGATTCAGTGGGGAACAGGGCGATGGCTTGCTGATGCCGAACATTTGTTGTGATACTGTCACCAGTAGAGATTGGGGAGAAGTGAAGTGAAGTGAAGCAACTGCTAGTGCTATGCTGATGGTTTGAGCACCCCTGGGTCGATCAACGCACGCACACGTGACATGAATTGTCCAGGATGATAAAGGCTTACCCATCTGTATACGCTGATGTTTCTAGACCAACCACATGTGCCCCAGGCAAGGGCACGTAATATGCTATCATCAATCAATTGCCTGGCACTACACCAGCGTCTCAAGTCCCACTTGACAAGCCAGGGCTGCTGCAGCTTGCCTGCCAGCACGTGCTCACTGCTCACCAGGTGACCAGCTTTGTGAGAGCGGAGATGCAGTCAGGAATTGACCCCGAGAAGCTCAAGTGAACACCAATCTGGTGTCATAGGGTCGATACCCAATGAGGCGTCTAAAAAATAAAAGTTCTCACCAGGTGACCAGCTTTATGAGAGTGGAGATGCAGTCAGGAATTGACCCCGAGAAGCTGTTGAGCCCCGCCGATCTGCCTTGCCGTCCCGGCAGCGACGGGCAATAGATTTGGGAGGGATTTGAGTTAGCAGATGGAGAAGCAAATGGACCAAGAAGCAAATAGAGAGTGGGGAAATGAAATGGCCACGCTGGAGTCTGGTCAGGAGGAATGGCCAAGTCATGGATGATAGAACGAGGCTGCCTGCAATACGGCAAAGCAAAGTGAAGAACATGTGAGCATGATTCCATCTACTTACATGGCTGTCAAGCTCGTCATCTTGCAAAGGCCTTCGGGGATCTGACCATTGAATGCGTTCACTCCAATACTCCTGCACCACACGGCACACGTACATACCGACAGACGGGCAGGATGCACCGAAAGTTTGGTCATTGAGCATCTGACCATCGGAAGCTTTAGACTGAGATCATGCTCACCTCAACAGACATGTGCATGGTATCACAGCCTTTCTATAATGGGTCACAGTTTTAGAGACCTGCAGCATTTTGTTCTAATGCATTTACGGACACTCACAATAGCTCTGGTTTTGGTAGAGATGAGATGGAGTCGGGCAGTGGTCCATCAAACTTGTTTGAGCCCATGACTCTGCACATGGTGAATCGAGGATGAATAGATAGAGATAGCACATGGATAACTAGGTTGGGAGTGGAGGATCAACAAACCTAGATGGCAGATGCATGCAGACAGACAGAGCAAGTCATTATGTGGAATGTGCATGAAGCTCTTCTTTTGTGTGCAAATGACATAATCAAGTCAACAAATGCCCTAGAATAGAAACATGGAGTGGAAAATTCATTGGCAACAGTTGCATTGCATCCCTGGCAGCCGTTTGAAAATCAGCCTGCAGAAGAATTCTGTGTTCTGTTTGAAAGGGGGGGGGGGGGGGGGGGGGTGTCCTCCCTATGTACTGAGTGGGGTAGGGCAGGAGAATGAGCATCTCGTAAGCACATAGGAACATGGACGTTCTAAAATTAGCAAAGGAAGGAAGGTCGTCGTTTCACATTCGCTTACAGCGTGACCAGGTTGGTGAGCCTTCCGAACGTCGTGGGCAGAGATCCACTGAAGCGGTTGCTTCCCACATTTCTGAAACGTTCAGAGGTTCATCCCTTCAGTGGTGGACGAGTGTGGAGATGACTTTTGAGGCGCCTCAAAAGGCCTCAAAATCTTTTGATGCGCCTAAAAAAAAGGCGTCAATGTGGTGAGATGAACGAATGAAGCATGAGAATCTGCGATCGGTCGGTTGAGGAAGGAGGCCAAACAGACCTGACTAGCAATTGAGGGATCCAAAGAAAATGGCCAATGTGATCCAAAACCTGATGCAGGACTGGCTGGTAGCTACTGCTTTCTTGCCTTGGAATTCTGATAACCCAACTGGTGAAGTTCAAATAACGCATACATGATTGGCTCTCTTTGATGGAAAGCGCGCGAATCTGGAGAGCGTAACAAGAGATTAAGTCTGCCGACTTCGACGAAACATTGCGTACAGCTCACGTAAGGTAAAACTATGAGCAGGTACTCTTTGGAAAGATTTTAATCTCTACTTTCTAGAATGATAAAGCACGTCTTCAACCAAGATCTAGGCCGATCGCTATCATGATTTAAGCGCGACGGGGTACCCCGACGAAATCACTTGGCAGCCATTGATTAGATCTAGGAACCGCTTAAGCAAGCGTTCATTTCTCAAGAGTGACGAGTTTGTCAAACCCTACCAACCCAACCCTCGCCCTACAACAATCCCCAACAACCCAAAATGCCAAACTAGCAACACCAAAGGTGTTGTAGTGAATAGCAAATATTTGCTGGTGCTTGTTGGGTGCGAGTTTAATTCCACCCGCAACAAGTCTAACATTCACATCTTAGCCCACAACCAGCTAGACCAAACCAATAACCCATACACAATCAACACTCTCTAGGAAAAAAAACGGCACTGAACTTAGAAAAACGTGTATGTTTACTTTTATTGGTTTTAAACCTTAGATTAACATAAAGTCGCACGTCCAGTTATGTGTAAGTTTACGTTTACCGTTTTCCTCATTTTGACATGCCTTTGCGACTATGTGTAACCTCTACACCTAGGCCAAAACTAGGAAAACAATATGTGAATGGAAAGCTATGAGGATCATATCAAATGGCGAGGATGTGCCGTGGCATAGCAATGAATCATTGCAGAAGGATGTAAGCAAGCAAGCATGCTTGGGCATAGTTATTTTGAGATACTTCTTGCTTAGGCGCTTAATCCCTCTAACCAGAAATGTGTCAGAAATGTGTCTGGCAAACCTTTTGAACTAAGATGTTTTAGAAACCTCACCAGGGAACAAAGTGAGATGCTTACAATGCAGTGAGGTAAACGAGATTCCCAATAAGCTCCGGCATGCTCCCAGAGGTTCGAGTGTTAGCCACATCCCTGCATTCGCAGCCCACATGGGGAACCAAAAAGTGAGGTCCAGGTTCGCACTGCACTCTCTCACACACGACGCATTCATGTGTAGTTTATGAGAACTCTCTCGTTGCAACCGTCGTTGCCCAACCTTACCGTCCCAACTATTTTCGCTGCATCGCACATGGACGGCACCGCGAAGAGCCTTACAGTTTCACGACATGGTTCTGTGCGTCACATGTGATGTGCCGCATGTTGGCACACCGGGCGTCCTTGCTCCACGTGCCCTCCCCGTCGTACCCCCGCCACGCTGTTGCCAGTGCTTCCAGCGCTAGCCCTGTGCATGGGTATGTGGGAGGGGTGTGTGGGAGGGGTATGTGGGTGGGAGGGATGTGTGGGATGGGTGCGAGCAAAGATTCGACGTTTGAGGAGGAGGGAGGGGATGTGTGAAAAAGATGCAAGAACTAAGTGATGATGCATAGCTGGGGAGAGATCTCAGTGAAGACGAAGAAAAACATTCAATAACACCAGCTGTGTGGTTCAACCCTTTCGTGAGGCGGACAGGGACGGAGGAGCAGAGCACGGGACCCCAGAGACACAGTGTTATCGCTCCAGCACAGCACAGCAAGCAGGACAGTGCAGGCATGCTATGACATCTCAATAACACCGACCCACTGAGCGCTCAGCTCAGCCTTACACTCGGACTCGGGCAAGACGGCATCGCAGACGGCAGGGGAAGCCCCGGTGGTGAATCCCGGGTAACAAGCACACGTGGCGTTGCTGCTGGTCTGCGGCGCCTGCCAGTAGCAGTAGCCCCGGCCAGCACAGGGCGGAGCGGAGGGCGGGGAGAGGCCGCAGAAGGCAGCGCACTGCTGGGCGGTCTGCTGCGTTTGAACGAGGCCGCAGGGGACGGAGTTGGAGGGGAAGCAGTTGCTGGCGAGGGAGAGAGAGACGGCGGAGCAGAAGGAGGTGGGAAGAGTGCCGGCGTAGAGATAGTTGATGCCCAACGACCTGAACAAACAGAGTTGATGCACGGTGAATTGGGAAGGGAAAACAGAGTGGGCGGAACGTAAGCCTTGTGCATGTGTCAGATACTTCATTTGTTTGGAGGTACAACGACGTTGATTTTGGTTTAGATGTTGTTGAGTGAAAGCAGCCAGAGATGACAAGCTTGGACTAGAAACTAAGTGTTGGAGTCCTGGAGAAGAAACGACATGTGCACACAAACTTACAAAAACTGCAACTTCTGGAGATTTGCGAGGCTGCTGCGCAATTCTCCTGATAGTTGATTGACTGACAAATCCTTGCCAAGAAAGGAGCGTTGCAATTGTGTAACAGCAAACAGCAGAGCAGAAGGTATAAAGGCGCCTCAATCACCATCAGTCCCTCCACGTGCACGTCATATCCACTACACTGGAATCCCACCTGTGCGCCATGTAGCTGCTAGCTAGTATCAACAGGGTCAGTAGTGGAAGAGGAAGGGAGCAAGCAAACAAAGGTGGGTGGAGTGTTCTGATGGGCGGGGCAGGTGGCGGCTCACACGAATTGCAGGTTGGTGAGGGAGCTGATGGGCTTGACAATGTGATTGCCTTTGAGATGTATCAAACCTTTTCTTATATCACAGAACAAGCCATACTTGTTAAAAACACACACACACACACACACACACACAAAAAGAACGCACACACACACACCCACCCACCCACACACAGACACACACCCACCCATCTCCCCCCCCCTCCCCCCCTCCCCACCCCCCACACACACACGCGCGCGCACGCACACACGCGCACACACACACATACACACAAAACGCATGCACACACACACACCCACCCACACACAGACACACACACACACCCACCCACACACGCACGCATGCACGCACGCGCACACACACACACACACACACACACACACACACACACACACAAACACACACGCGCACGACTCACATGAACTGCAGATTCGTGAGGGAGATGATGGACTCCGGGATGCCCCCAGCAATGCGGTTGCCAGAAAGGTTGCTGCACGCAGACACGGGATGGGGAGGAGGGATGAGAGAGGGGAAGGAAGAGAGGCAAGAGACTCTCGCTTTCTCAAAGAGATTGTGGGAGTGGGGGCTTGCCTCCTCCTGCTAGCTTCACGCCACCTTCTCTTCCGCCATCCTGCCACTGCCACTCCCACTGTCCTATTCTCACTCTTCCACCCACCCCTCTTACCCCCCCCCCCCGCCCTCACCCACCCCCTCTACTACTACTGCTCCATGCCACATCCACCTGCGTCTAAGAGCTCACTTAACGGGCAGCTTGTTCCTGTCAGTCTGGCAACAATTGTGGCACACTCAAAACGGCAGTGCCGCTTTTGAGTCGACTCAAAAGTACTCGTGGCACACTTAACAGGGAAGTGCTGCAGAGGTCCTTTCTGTATCATCACCGTCAGTCTTAGCCATTCTGCAAATGCTTAGTTGTCTCAGCTGTCGGTGCGACTATGCCAAGAAGTAAGGTAAAGCATTTTGGAGACTCGACATCGCTTGGCCCTCCATGACCCTCGATTAGCCGCATGCTGCTTGCTCTCTCTATTCGTGGTGTAATAATATCTCACCATGGGTTGGAATGAGAGGATCATGCAAGCAAGCAGCACCCTGTGAATGAAGCGAAGCAAGCGTATGTAAGGTTCCAAGCGAAGCAGCACGCATGGATAACTCTGGTCAAATGTACTCGCATGGAAGTGAGGTAGAGCAGATTGGCAATGGCTACTGGAATCGAACCAGTTATTCCGCGACTGGGTGCATTCCTGGATGATGTACGTGCACGGCGAGTAGGGCAAACGAAGGGAGGGACATGGGGAGAAAAAAAAAGAGAGAATACTGTTCTACATCAAACAAATGCAATCCCATCGCGCCTTTCTTCCGCATTATGAACGAAGAAACTGGGAAATCACCATCACATACACCAATATCACATCATGAAGAGCCTACTCTCCGCCATCAACAGGAAATGAAGAAGAGGATCACAGTTTGACGATGCGGTTGGCCTCATTGCACACGACACATTTTAGCTACGCATGCGGGGCCATCCTTGAGACGTCTCAAAAAGGAAGTAAAGAGGAGCCCCACAGCTTGACGATGTGGTTGGCCTGGTTGCACACGACATAATTCAGCTGCGCACACGGCACCTTCCTTCTCCACGTGCCGTCGCCATCAAAGCCGCCCCATGCCACCGAGAGCGCACACAGAGCCATCCCTGTGCACGCACAGCCACACACACAGAGCCAGCACAACACAACACCACATTGACCGTTCTGATTTTCGAGACATCTCCAAAAACGAGACCGAGAGCGCACTGAGGGCCAACCCTGGGCACACATGGCACAGCGCGTACAACACAAGGCTGCATCGACCATTACGCTGTGCAACTTGAACTTTCACACCTACATAGCACACTCTTGCTAAGGCTAGAACAATATGGACAACAGCTCTCACTCAAATCAGGCACGCAAAAACAAACAAAGAAAGCATCACAGAAATGATGAAAGAGCGTCCAGAAGGGGAACCCAGCCCAACCCACATTCCAGCTCTGGCAGCGACTGCAGGCACGTGCCGGGATCCACCCCGTTTCCAAACCCCTCGTTGCACACGCACGTGGCCGTGCCTGTGTTCTGCTCTCCCTTCCAGAAGCAATAGCCTTGGCCACCACAGGACAACGTAGATGGCGGGGAGAGGCTGCAGAATGCACTGCACTGCTGGGCGGGCCGCTGCGGTTGGCCGCAGGGGATGGCCTTGGCGGGGAAGCAGTTGCTCCCAAGAGAGAGTGTGAGGGTCTTTGATGTGCACTTGGGCTTGGGAACCGTACCCGCGTAAAGGTAGTTGTCGCTCACGGACCTGCACATGGGAGGGGCGAGGAATGGAAGGTGTGTGTGAGTGATGCAACATCGTGTAAGTACCTACAGGGTCTTTGATGTGCACTTGGGCTTGGGAACCGTGGCCCCGTGAAGGTAATTGTCGCGCACGGACCTGCAGATGGGAGGGGCGAGGAATGGAAGGTGTGTGTGAGTGATGCCACATCGCGTAAGTACCTACAGGGTCTTTGGTGTGCACTTGGGCTTGGGAACCGTGGCCCCGTGAAGGTAATTGTCGCGCACGGACCTGCACATGGGAGGGGCGAGGAATGGAAGGTGTGTGTGAGTGATGCAACATCGTGTAAGTACCTACAGGGTCTTTGATGTGCACTTGGGCTTGGGAACCGTGGCCCCGTGAAGGTAATTGTCGCGCACGGACCTGCAGATGGGAGGGGCGAGGAATGGAAGGTGTGTGTGAGTGATGCCACATCGCGTAAGTACCTACAGGGTCTTTGGTGTGCACTTGGGCTTGGGAACCGTGGCCCCGTGAAGGTAATTGTCGCGCACGGACCTGCAGATGGGAGGGGCGAGGAATGGAAGGTGTGTGTGAGTGATGCCACATCGCGTAAGTACCTACAGGGTCTTTGGTGTGCACTTGGGCTTGGGAACCGTGGCCCCGTGAAGGTAATTGTCGCGCACGGACCTGCAGATGGGAGGGGCGAGGAATGGAAGGTGTGTGTGAGTGATGCCACATCGCGTAAGTACCTACAGGGTCTTTGGTGTGCACTTGGGCTTGGGAACCGTGGCCGCGTGAAGGTAGTTGTCGCTGACAGACCTGCAGATGGGAGGCGAGAGGAGGCTGTGAGTGTGGCGCTTCGTTGGATCTGAGCAGCACCAAGAGCGCGGGCGAAGTTTGGCCCTGGGGCCCCCCATGCCGGGACATCAGGAACAGCAATAACTCGGGTTTTCTGAAACTGTGGCAATGGCTTGCGGGATTGGTTCGGATGCTGAAATGCGCTTCAGAATCGGGTTTTCTTACAGAAAGCGGAGGGAATTGAGGGCAAGGAGAGCGGCGGGCATGGATCCAGACAGCTGGTTATTCGACAAGTCACTGTAGGCAAGCACGCAAGCAGGCAAACATGCAGTTAAGCAAGGCGTTACGGGGCCAAAGCAAGTGTGGGGTCTTTCACAAAAGTCAGAGAGGATCTTTTTGAAGATAATCGTGAGGAGAAGCTTATATTGATGTAAGCAGCCCACCGCACCACACAATCCATGAATTTCCCCAAATGTAAATGAGGCAAAATTGTGATGGCACAAAGGCAAGATTTCGATTTTGAGTGAGGGTGATAAACAAAAGCCCATTACTATGCACCCATCCAGCTGCTAGCTTGCAAACACAAGATGGCAGAGGGTCTCACAGATTCTGAAGGTTGACAAGGCTGGCAAAGGAAGCAGGGATGGTGCCTGCAAATGAGTTTCTTGACAGATTCCTGCATGAGCAGCATGAATGATGGAGTCGACGACAATGAGAATGAGAATGACCCCGGGATCATCAAGAATGGGATGCAGTGCAGTCGGTCGGTATGCTATGTCGTGTGCGTGTGGCCCATAGCAACGTATGCGCCCACACCATGCCACCATAGGCTCTTCAAAAGTTTGTGCTACAGGATTATGCACTCGAGTCTTGACTAATGAGCCAAGCTGGGATTTGAGAAATGAAACGCAACACTAGACCGGATCAGACAGTGCTGGAAAACATGTGATATGAATCGGATTTGTCTTGCCGTTTAAAGTCTATCTTACACCACAAGTTTCGATCAAACGGCTTGTGCAAGTAGGCGTTTCCACTGATGCATTAATATGGGCTTTCCTTATGTAACAAGAGGACAAGGTAAACCCAAATACTGCTGTTCAGCTTCTGGTGCAGTTCACTTTATGAGAGCGAGATAGAAAGACATTGTGAGGAATGCAGATAGAAAGACGGCATTAGGATTGCAGAGGGGGCATACAGATGTGTGAGGCGAGTGAGCGACGAGAGCACCGATGGGATGGTTCCAGGGAGCCATTGGTTGGATAAGTCGCTGGAGATTGGGTGGGGCACAGCGATACAGAGGTTAACGTGTGGAAGAACATATAAGTGCGCTGTAGCACAGCAAGCAGTAAGAGAGAGAAGGGAGGAGTAGGAAGTGAGTAAAGAATATTGTTCCTAGATCCACTGGGAGTCACTTTTCAAAATTCTCAAAAGCAAAAAGGGAAGAGTAGAATGTGATGTGAGTAGCAAATGTTGTTCCTAGATCCACTGGGATGACCCAGAGATCTTGGAAGGGCTCCGTTCTGGGGGGTATAGAGTATAGGTGCGCTGACCCGCGACAACTCAGTCGTTTAGTAGAGTGGTGTTTTTAACAGTGAATACACAAGCACGCACTACAGAGCACAGAGTACACCTAAGAGACCACGGTGCACGAGCCTTGACGCATGCACACATGGCGCTCTGACTGACTCAAGCCATGGGGCACACAGCAGTCGGAGCAGTCGGAGCAGTCGGAGCACTCACAGGCGAACAATGAAGCTCTGAGTGTCAACAGCGACAAAGCGCATGAGGGAGGAGATGGTCTCCGTTTGCCACTGCTCGTTGTCCCCCGTGCCCCACAGCACCTGCAACTGCTTCAGCACTTGCGCTGCGGAAAACACACACGTTGAGTAAAAGGACACGATTAGGAGAAGGGGATGTAGGAGAAGAAAATTCATATTTATAAATTCATTCTTGCAGACTACTCTTTCTGTTAGGGTCTCATCCTATCCATCACACTTGATCGATGTACCTCGGGGTGAACACTCCTGTTCATTGCACGCTCAAGAAAGGGCACTCCCTCTAGTAGCCTTGGCGCTGCCATGCAATTCATCCTAGAGAAACATGCATTGGTTGACTCCCCTCCTCACAACGCACCTTGAGAGGCCTCGAGAAGAGGAGCGCACGTCGCCCCTCTCTTGTACCCCTCCAAGCACCAGCATTCTTTGGAGCCGAATTCCCAAAAGTTTGACGAGCCGCCGCAGTACCCAAGGCCACCACACGGAGGATTGGTAGGGCCTGCCAGTCCGCAAAAGTCGGAGCAGTAGACACTCTGAGCCGAGTCCATGAGGCACGGAATGTCGTTGGCAGCGAAGCAGTTCCAGTCAAGGTTAATGGCAGCTTGCGCGCACACTCTTCCAACGATGAACCCCGACACAAAGAAGTTTCTCTCTAGTGACCTGCATATGGCGAGAGGGATAGGCATGGGATGGCGACAGATGGACACGCAGTGAGACGGACATGGGATGGTGAGGTGAGGGTGTGGTGATTATGAAAGACACCACCGCGCGAGTGAGGGTGTGTGTGTCTGTGTGTGTGTGCAGAGTGACAGAAAACATGCTGTGCTCCTGGTGCCACTGGTGCACATGCACGTGAATGCGCACAGAACACAGCAGCACACTCTGTAAACTGTTACGGTGCAATGCGTGTGCACGGCGCAATGCGTGTGCACTCACAGGAATTTGAGGCCCTTCAAGCTAGCCATTGATGGAAGGGTTCCCGAAAGGAAGTTGCCAGAAAGGTCACTGCACTCAGAGATGTGATGCATAGCAGGAAGACATAGAGCAGTCAATCGCTTCTCTAGGTGGTGATTTAAAGGTTCATATCATGGCCCATGATACCCTGATAGATGGATAGCTATCATGGATGCACCCGTTACAGTCCAGCAAACATAGGAACAGAGAGATGAAGCGTTCCACCATTCAAGTGCCAGCAGCAGCAGTCAAGTGTGAAGACAGAAATCGGACAATCGAATGCTCCTCTGGTGTTATGTGGATACTTTACTCAGACTCACATGTAAGTGAGCCGAGACGAGGACGGCAGGTCTGGGCAGGGGCCAAAGAAATAGTTGTTCGCAAGATTCCTGTGTTGAGCAAGGAATGCACGTGGAAGTAGAAAGAGACGCATGGGAGCATGCGAGCACGTGGGAGCACATGGGAGCAGGTGGGAACACGTGGGAGCAGGTGGGAACACGTGGGAGCAGGTGGGAACACGTGGGAGCAGGTGGGAACACGTGGGAGCAGGTGGAAACACGTGGGAGCAGGTGGGAACACGTGGGAGCAGGTGGGAACACGTGGGAGCAGGTGGGAACACGTGGGAGCAGGTGGGAACACGTGGGAGCAGGTGGGAACACGTGGGAGCAGGTGGGAACACGTGGGAGCAGGTGGGAACACGTGGGAGCAGGTGGGAACACGTGGGAGCAGGTGGGAACACGTGGGAGCAGGTGGGAACACGTGGGAGCAGGTGGGAACACGTGGGAGCAGGTGGGAACACGTGGGAGCAGGTGGGAACACGTGGGAGCAGGTGGGAACACGTGGGAGCAGGTGGGAACACGTGGGAGCAGAGCAGGTGGGAGCACGTGGGGGCAAAGGAGATGGAATGAGCCTCAGGTATGAGCAGGTGGGCAAGCCGGGAGAAGGACAAGATAGGGCAAGGCGACGAGTAGCAGGCTTGTCCCTGACTTGTTGTAGGTGCAGGAAGAAGACTGTACAAGGCTCAGTGGCTCGCCAGCGGGCTAGGGAGAGCAGGAGTTGGAGAGATGAAATTGGGATATAACGCAGAAGATAGTTTAAGATAGTATGTTCACGTTATTATGGGGGGTCGGCCCTTGTCAACGACATGCCAACCAAGTCAGTGACAAGTGAGGTCGCTTCGCTGGGCTTGCAAGCAGGGAGCTGATTGGAGCACATGGCATGGCAGGGCATGGCAGATCATGGCAGGGCATAGCATGGCAGGGCATAGCATGGCAGGTCATGGCAAGGCATAGCATGGCAGGCATAGCAGGGCATGGAATGGAAGAGCATGGCATGGAATGGAAGAGCGTGGCATGGTGGAATTCTCACAGGAACTCGAGGGATTCCAGGCGGGCGAGGGAAGGAAGGACGCCACCCAGCATAAAATTAAATTCAAGGTTGCTGCAAGTAATCGACGACGCAGACAGCACAGCAAACAAACAACTCTGAATGAATGAGGCCAACGCGATCCTCTGTCATGAATGACAAGCTGCAAACAGCAATTTTGGACCTCACCACCACTGCAGTGTGGTGCATGCATGCATGTATATGTACGTGAGTATGTATCATGTATATGTACGAATATAAGTGCTCCAGGTTTTCTGGCACACAAAATGCTACTTTTCCTACTGCATGCATGTACTCTGTTTGTGGTGTTTGCTGCATGTGAGCAGTATATTTTGTTTCTAGAACAAATGCATATCATTATGCTACGAACAACCAAGGGGTACTCTCACTTGCATTTATATACAAGCATAGATTCCAGCCCCACCAACACAATTTCCCATGATCCTCAGGCTTTCAGCATATGCTCCTGCCCACCCACCAAGATTACCTACACCATACAATGGTTCCCTCGTTTTTGAATGAGAACGTGTTTTTTAATCTAGACTCGTCCATGAGAGAGAGCGTAGGTGATAGAAAAGGAGCTTAACTGATGAATTAGTAGAGAAGGCACTAGGCCTTAGGTACAAACGAGGTTGGGTTGGGAAAGGCTAGGGAAAGGATGGGATGGGAATCCTAGCAAATCTCCAATTGGTGAGTTGGCAGATTTGCAGGATTACGAGGGAATCCCAACCAGATAGGGTTGGGATTACAAACTACACCCAACCCGCAAATAACCTACGCGATATAAAATAGAGTACACAAAATGTTGACAGCCTAATTCTAACAGTAGGAGGGCAGGGGCTTACAGGATCTTGAGCTGAGTGAGTTTGGAGATCTTTGGAGAGATGGACCCCTCGAGCTCAATGTGAGATATGGATCTATTGGTGTAATACAATCCGTATCATACAACGACGTATGTACGAGTGTGTCATGTGCCATGTCATGTGTCATGTCATGTCATGTTTAAGGTTTCATGTAAAAAAGCACACATGACCACACAGGAAGGGTGAAATGAGAGACAAACAGCATGAGCAACAAGTGGCATAAGCAACAAGTGGCATGAGCATCAAGTGGCATAAGCAACAAGTGGCATGAGCATCAAGTGGCATGAGCATCAAGTGGCATGAGCATCAAATGGCATGAGCATCAAATGGCATGAGCATCAAGTGGCATGAGCATCAAATGGCATGAGCATCAAGTGGCATGAGCATCAAGTGGCATGAGCATCAAATGGCATGAGCATTAAGTGGCATGAGCATCAAATGGCATGAGCATCAAGTGGCATGAGCATCAAATGGCATGAGCATCAAGTGGCATGAGCATCAAATGGCATGAGCATTAAGTGGCATGAGCATCAAGTGGCATGAGCATCAAATGGCATGAGCATCGGAGCATACAATCTGGTGAGCCTCGGAAGAGTAAAAATCTCTGCAGGGATGCTCCCAGTGAGGTAAACAGCACTCAGCTCTCTGTGTGCATGAGAAAGGGAAAGAAGAACGAGGCACATCATAGTGATCAGGCATGCAGGACACTCAAGGGCTCGTGCTGCGCGTGCCAGCAATCTCCCTGGGTTTCCTTCGCCCATGGGCCATGTCCATTCGTGGATGCATGAATCTCAAGGGCTGATGCCATCAAAGGCGCGAGGCACATCACGTGACAGCGTCCCCTCTGGATCTAGTTCGCCCATGTCCTTGTATGTCCCGCACTGGTGCCTACCTATGCTGATTTGACTTTTGAGTCGACTCAAAAGTCAACTCTGTCCCACAGTGGTGCCGACCTATGTTGGGAGATAGTGCAGATTTCGCATGAGATGCCACGAACCAGCGTACTATACGTTGGAATGGGCAGGTAAAAGAGAAACTTGAGCGGTTTATATGGTGGGGGGAATTCAGCAACTGTATCTCTCCCTCCAAAAGAGGATTCATTATCGTTCAAGATTACCCCTCTCATTTCCTCCTTCTCCCTCTGGGCTGGTGCTTCCCTTCCACCCCCTTCCCTGCACAGCCCCCAAGCCAAGCCCACTCCTCCCCCTCCCATCCCATCCCCTCCAACACCACGTCTTCCCCCTCATCCTCCATATCCTCCTCATCCACCTTGTATCGTTAAGCAGGGATATTCAGAATGTCCTAATTCATTCATTCATTCATTCATTCATTCATTCATTCATTCATTCATTCATTCATTCATTCATTCATTCATTCATTCATTCATTCATTCATTCATTCATTCATTCATTCATTCATTCATTCATTCATTCATTCATTCATTCATTCATTCATTCATTCATTTGTTTACTTAATCATGCCGGGCTTCCCAGGCAACTTCATGTATATTTGCGCACTTCGTATACAGCTAGCACATATATTACATATATAGACATACTTATGTATATGTGTATATATACGGAACACACTAGACCCCCATGAGTCAGCGTACATGCTGCCAGCGTATGTGTCAGATTAAAGATCAGGCTCAGCAGCTATCCAGTAGGCCTTTGCCACGTCAACCCCAATTAGCAACGTTAAGCCAACAGGCAGGACAGACTGAGCGCCAAGATAGTCACGAAGAGCAGGGAGTGCAGTGAGTAAGATAGGACTTTTAAGGCACCTCAAATTTTGTATAGGCAAGAAGAGCAGGGAGCGCAATGGGTAAGGGAGGCACATAGTGAACTCACTCATCAGGCGACATTCTTACATGGTGAGTCGCACATGATGTGAACTCACTCATCAGGCGACATTCTTACATGGTGAGTCGCACATGATGTGAACTCACTCATCAGGCGACATTCTTACATGGTGAGTCGCACATGATGTGAACTCACTCATCAGGCGACATTCTTACATGGTGAGTCGCACATGATGTGAACTCACTCATCAGGCGACATTCTTACGTGGTGAGTTGCACATGATGTGAACTCACTCATCAGGCGACATTCTTACATGGTGAGTCGCACATGATGTGAACTCACTCATCAGGCGACATTCTTACATGGTGAGTCGCACATGATGTGAACTCACTCATCAGGCGACATTCTTACATGGTGAGTCGCACATGATGTGAACTCACTCATCAGGCGACATTCTTACATGATGAGTCGCACATGATGTGAACTCACTCATCAGGCGACATTCTTACATGGTGAGTCGCACATGTTGTGAACTCACTCATCCGAGACAATGACCAAGGGACTCTCAGGCGACATTCTTACATTTCAACGAGGCTGGTTGCGCCTCCAATTTCCGGTATAATGCTCCCAAAGAAGTGAGTATTATGTGTTATGATTCTGTGGAGGGGTGTACATGTGGAGGAAGAGGGGCAAGTCAAGCATTCACCGGGGTTGAAAATCAGCCAACGATAAGGAGATGGGAGCGAGGAAGGAGAGGAGGAGGGAGGAGGAGGTAGGGAGTATGTGAAAATGTTCCCCAACCACAAACAACAAAGGAAACAAGAAAAAAACAAGGAAAACAAAGGACAAAAGGGGAACAAGGAAACAAGAGAAAAAAGAGAAAGAAAGGCAAAAATAGAAACAAGGGAAACAAGAGAAACAAGAGCAGCGAGGGGAACTGGGGAAACAAGGTCACAAGGG